TTGAGGGAGATCTGGTGATAGCTGGAGTAATAGTCAAGGAAGGAGAGCAGTTCGTAGCCGGCGATGGAGTCTACAACCTCGTCTATCCGACGCAAACCGAAGGGGTCTTTAGGGCAGTGTTTGTTAAGATCAGTGTAATCAACGCACATTCTCCATTCTTTATTCTTTTTTGAACGAGAACAGGGTTTGCTAACCACTCAGGATGATACACTTCTTTTATAAATCCGGTAGCTAAGAGCCATTTTATTTCTACCCTAATAGCCTCCTTGTCTGGTGCGAACCGGTGGAGTTTCTGCTTGATCGGTTTGGCGGTCGGCGAGACATTCAAGGAGTGCTCGATCTTCTCCCGTGGTACCCCCGGCATGTCTGTAGGTTTCCAAGCAAACACATCGACGTTGGCACGTAGAAAGGAGATGAGCACGCTTTCCTATTTGGGGTCAAGGTGAGCCCTAATCTTTACGGTCTTGGAGGGGTCATCGAGGTCGAGGCCGAGGCCAAGGCCGACCTCCTTTATTTTCTTAGACTTGGCGGAGGCGCGGGGAGGCTCCAACTCTGGGATCTCCATGTCGTCGGCGGGCAACGTCTTGGCTTCGGTGACCACGCTGGCCATCTAGATGGAGAGGTCGGTGGCTTAGGCGAGGGCAAGATTCTCTGTCTCGCAGGCGTAGGCGATGGAGAGGTTGGCCCGTAGGGCCAGAACTCCTGCAGGCGAAGGCATCTTCAGCACCAGATACGCGTAGTGTGGTACAGCCATGAACTTGGCCAGAGCTGGCCGTCCAAGTATAGCGTGGTAGGTGGTGTTGAAATTGGCGACGTAGAAGTTGATGTGCTCGACGCGGTAGTTGCTTGCCGTGCCGAACTATACTGGTAAGGTGATCTCTCCAAGCGGTTTGGAGGCCCTGCCAGGTACCACACCCCAAAAGGAGGAGTTGGAGGGTGTGAGATCTGCTAATCCGAGGCCTAGCTCCTTTAGGACTCCGGCGAAGAGGAGATTCAGAGCACTTCCACCGTCGACGAGCACTTTTCTGAAAAAACACCTTTTGGACGGTTGCATCGAGGACGAGGGAGAAACACCCTGTGTAGGGAATGTCCGACCACTGGTCAGCCCTGCTGAAGGTGATGGGGACCTCGGACCATGGGCGATAGCTGGGGTTGGCGGCGGCGTCCTCCGTAGTGACGGCGAGCACCAGCCATGCGGCGAGCTTCTGTTCTCTTCTGCTCTCGGTGGAGGCGAGGCCCCTGAAGATGGTGGCGACCACCTTGTCGTGGTCCTGGAAGGCATTGTCATTGCCCCCAGGTGGTCGGCGACCACCGGCTCCGTCGTTGGCGTCGTCGTCTAGCTTTTTGTCCTAGAACTCCTTAGCCAAACCAAGGCAGTTCTTCATCTTGTGCTTAGCGTTCTTATGGAGAGGGCACGGGCCATCGAGGATCTTCTTGTACTGCTCATCGTAGTTGCGCTTGGCACGAGGTTCATTGATGGCAGCGACGATGTGGTCTGGCCGGTGGCGGCGATTTTGACTAGTCTTGGGTCCTTCTGGCCGATCACGGCCGCTGTCACGATGGTAACTGCGGTCGTCGTGGTGGCGGTCATTGTGGCGGCGGTCGTCGGGGCGGTCGTCGTAACGATGTGTTGGGCGATGAGTGCCCGCATCCTCATTGAAGCGCACCTCGGCTTCCTCGGCGTCGGCGTACTGGTTGGCGGTTGTGATCATCTCGCCGATCCTAGTGGGCGGCTTGCGGTTGAACTTGGAGCGAAGCTCGCGGTGATGGAGTCCTCGGATGAAGGCGGTGATGACCTCGGCTTCCGTGATGTTTGGAATAGAATTCCTCATCTCAGAAAAGCGTCGGATGTAGCTGCGGAGGAGCTCGGATGGCTTCTGGTTGATGCGGTTGAGATCATGCTTGGTTCCCGGTCGCGTACACGTAGCCATATAATTATCGGTGAAGACTTTTTTCAGCTCTTCCCAGGATCCGATGGAGTCTGGGGCAAGGCTAGTGAACCAGTTCATGACGGTTGGCGCGAGCATAATGGGAAGATAGTTCGCCATGACACTGGTGTCTCCTCCGGCGGCGCGAACAGCAATGGCGTAAGCCTGTAACCACTGTGTTGGATTCATCCTCCCCTCGTAGGGCTCGACCCCAGTGATTTTGAAACCACGGGGGCCACTGAAGTGTACGGAGTGCCCTTGTAAATGTCGGGGGCCCCTCGGGGTTCTCGGCGCCGTCGTCTGCGGCGTTGCCTCCGGCGAGTGGCTCGAGAGCTGAGTCCGGGTTATCGTACTCTTGCTCGTACTCCTGGCGGCAGCGTACTTCGTCTTCATGGCGACCAAAGCGGCGTTCGTCGATACGTCGTCGTGCATCTCGAAGATTGTTGAGGTGCACCCGGACATCTTGGTCGACCTCCTGGTCGTGTTGGCGGTGATGTTTAGCGCGGTTGCCCCTAGTTCCGCCCTGGAGGGGTTGCCTGTCGTCGCGGTGCTGGTCAGTGAAGCGACTTTGGCGGCGATCGGTTCTTTTGGCGACTGATCGGCGAATCGAAGTGGTGGAGTATGAAGGTCTCTGATCCTAGCGAATCTCATTGACCTGGCAGTGCGCCGCTTTAAGCATGGCGACGACCTTGGCGAGCTCGGGCGTTTGCGGGAGGCGGGTGAGCTCGTTGGTGGCCACTGCCAGATTGACGCTTGGAGTCTTGAAGACGTCGTGGCCGTCAACGCGGAGAAACTCTTTGTCGAGGTTGCGCTGGAGTGGCCTTCCTTGCGAGTCGAGCTGCTGCTCGGCCATCGCAAGGGCATTCTCGTTTGCTCGGCGTTGTGCGCAGTTGACGTTTTGGTTCTCACGAGCGGCCCGTTCCTCCTCGGTTTCGCCGTTCCTAGGGGGGCTGTCGACGCTGACGTTGAAGATTGCGCCGCCACGGGATGGAGGGAGAGGAAGTTGCTCGGTGAAGGTTTCGGCGAGAGTCTCCGTAGAGCCCTGGGACTCGGAGCCCGGATTCTCCTCTGGGATGGTCTGGAGGGACGCTCCGGGGCATCGGCCGACGTGGAGCATGTTGACGGCCCGCGGAGGCTGGTCGGCAATCTGGTCGGCGAGAGGATGGATGTCTCCCACCTGGTCGGCGAATTTGCCCCTTAGGGCGTCTTGGAAGGTGGCGGCGGCGTTGGCGAGCCTGAAGGGCAGAGCCACAACCCCTGGAGTGTTCCGAGCAGCCTCCGGCAGATCTGGATCGGTGGGGGGTCGGTGCTGGACCAGAGTGTCCAGAGCCGATTCGGTGATGGAGAGGCAATCGGCGAGCTTCAGACCAACCCGATCGATAGATGCGATCAGATCGTCATTGTTAATCTGCCTCGTCTGGTAGCGAGGAAGCGAGTGGCGAGTCGTCGATGAAGGCAACCTCGGAGGTGGTTTCGAGATCGGATCTGCTATTGCAGGTGCGGGGGTGATCGGCGCAGAATCGATCTGTGCCGGCTCAAGGAGCTCTCCGACTCCATCAGCGTTGATGATCCATGAGATCGATTTGACCGTGAAGATCTGGCCGGGCTGCAGGAGGGAAGAAGAGCCTGCGGAAAAAGACATCTTGTTCGACAGGGAAACAACACGCAATCCCCTACCTGGCGCGCCAACTGTCGACAGAATATCGTCGGCAGTCCTTCGAGGGGTATCCCACGAAGGTAGATTGATCGGCAGAGGAGCGTGAGATCAAGAACAAGAAGGCAACAAAAACACACGAGTTATACAGGTTCAGGCCGTCAGTATGACGTAATACCCTACTCCTGTGGTTTGTTGGTTTGTATTAGCTATGATATGATATTGCGTGAGTTTGGAGGGGGTCCCTGCCCGCCTTATATAGTCCGGGGAGTAAGGTTACGAGTCGTATTGCCATCCTTAGACCTGAGCGGGTTTTGTCTATCGGCAATCACTATCAGCACTTATTAGCTTCTACGGTCAGAAAATCTTGGTTCATTGCATTGTTTTGGTATCGTGGAATGATGTGGAGGATAAAAAAGTTCGGACGAGTGGCACATGTGTCCGCTCAACTTTTTTAATGACACATATGGAGTTGCAAACTTTTTTAATGGTACACAGGGAAAAGACTACTTTAATTGGTGCATTGAGAGTGATGGGCAGTGGGAGTGTCAGATTTGTGCTGGGATCGTTTTGAAATTGCGATATGCTATGCCCTCGGGGTTGAAGGGCTAATTTTGATATGTTATGCGATTTGATGCCATTATTCGTTTGTAGAGCTACTACACCTCACCAAGGGTGACAGAAAAATTCGATCTTCGAAATGAAGAAAGAAAGTTTTTTCCCCCAGTGGCTGCTGTAGTCCTGTCAGTTTTAAATTTAGTGTTTAGTTGATAGGTGTACAGGTTGTCCCATTATATTCTTTTCAGAGACAGATTTTCACGTTTGTTACCTGATGTTATAAGTTCAATTGGTGCCATCTGGTTGTTCGATTTGATTATTCGAAAGTACTACTAGAATTTGTTGTGAAATAATGTCTACAAATAATTATTTGTCAGTTTATCAAGCTATGATCGACACTATCTTGCAATTGCAAGGATAAGTGGATAACCACATTACATTTTTTTTTCTTTCATGAATTCGTTTCTGACAGAATAAGCTATTTCATTTGCCTGCTATTTATTCATGCAATACAGAACACACCAACCTGAATCTGCAGCATACAAATATAAAACAACCTGGTTTGTATTCAATATGTTTAATATGTATCAATTAGTACATGAGAAAGAACTGCATGTGAGGCTGTGATCAACGGCATTGTACAATATGTGGTTCAGCTGTTGAAGTAGGAAAACTAACTGAATGAACATGATGGCATTTCCATTCATCGCAAAAATAATCCTTTCCTCCTTCAGAAACTGCCTGTATTATGTACAAGGTCACATAACCCTTCCTGCTTAGTAACAGTATTTTCTGTATTCTACGGTGCTACTAGGACTACTTTCTGCTGATGTATTCCAGTGCTTCTGTTGATATGCCGATTATAGCATACAGCACAGCAGGCAGAGTAACAAATACTGGTGTCTGCATGGTACGGTGTCACAGATGGCATTCGGCATTGCGAATGCCTCTATGGACCATGAAAGCTCAATTCCACCTCTTTGAATTTTTAAGCGACTTTGATTTTTGTTTGCTTTGTTGGAAGGCCTGCATCTTCTGCTTCTTTCTGACGGCTTTTCTGCCTGCATTAGAGTTCAGAAAACAAAAACAACTGTTAGACTGGCAAACTAAAGTAAACCAATTTTACAGCTCACACCTGAAGTGGCCTAAATATTTACCTTCGACATTTTCGACTTTGCTTTTACTTTGGGGGCTTTCTCCTCGAGCTCTTCCTCACGAGCAAGTTCCCTTTCTCTGGCTTCAAGGTTCCTTTCAAGGTAATACTGCAAACATTTGATAAAGAAAAACTTCATCATTAATGGTTATCTCATCTTCCAATGACCTAGACAATCGCATTGATTTTATGCTAATTTATCACTGAATGGCTGGAGCCATTATGATTCTGTTTCCCAATTGGGTCATGTCAGATTCAGCATGGGAACTTTTTGACACTAGATAGATCTCTTAGTTCTCTTTCACTGCATAGTTTCTGTCATACTAATCTCTTACATGACCATCTAATAGATGCATTCAGGATGACAATACAAATCACTTATGCCATGTTAAGCAGAGAACACTATAGATGGATGCAATCAGTATTAAGGGAACTATTATATGCAAAGAGTTCAACATATATAGGTGAGGCAAGTTTCTAAGATCATAGGACAGCTTACATTGTAATCTCCTTGATAGTCTTGGATAGTCTGATCTTTCACTTCAATGACTCTGTTCACAATTTGTTTTATAAAGTACCGGTCATGAGAAACTGTTATTACAGTACCTGTATATTCTGATATTGCCTCCTGTCAAGCATGCAAAAAGTTATTAGGACTGCATGCTAGAAAATTTCCTCAATCCCACATGAGAGAGATGAGGAACTGATAGATCATAAAAAATGATTATTATATAGAACAAGAACTGTGTCTGACCTCAAGCATTTCTTTTGATGGGATATCAAGATGGTTTGTCGGTTCATCCAAGATGAGTAAAGTAGATGGAGTCACCATGAACTTGCAAAATGCAAGCCTTGCCTAAGAAATCATAAATAAAGGGTGAGAAAATGTAAACAGGCCAGTAATACTGTTCTACAAAAAATCATTGTCAACCACCAACGGAGAGCATTTAGGCAGAGCTTCAGCTTATAAAGGTGACTTCTGAGGAGTAAAAAACAAAAAAGGTAAAAACTGTACTGAAAACGTGCATTACCTTCTCTCCACCACTTAAAAACTGAACTTTTCTATCCAGCATGTCATCCCTGAAGTTACAACGGCCAAGGAGACCTTTGATATCATCAAGTGTCCAGTCCTCTGCAGCTTCTGCTACAGTGTCTAGCACAGTCTTCTCTAAATCAAGAGCTTCTGCCTGGTAGAACATCATATCCCATTAATCTAAATGGAAAAGGACAACTTTTTGTATTTATTCAGTAGGAGCATGACTAATAAGTAATAACCAAGTGCCCCCATGTCGACATCTGATCTAAACAACCGCAAGAGAAGATAACAAGCAGAGTAACTCTATTTACCTGATTCTGCTCGAAATAGTTCGGCAACACATTATGGTCCCCAAGAAGCACCTCACCACCTTGTGGCTTCTCCATCCCCAAAATAAGTTTAAGCAATGTGCTCTTTCCACAACCATTGGGTCCAATAATAGCTATCTTTTCACCTCTCTCTACTATAAGATTAGCATTGTTGAACAAAGTCTGGACACACAACACAGCAATCAGGATAGGTGCAAAAAATTGATGTAGAGAATATCACAGTATAAAAATTCAGAAAACTAAAATTTTGGAAGAAATGGCCAATGGGCATCTACACAACATTGCTGACCTTATCCTCAAATCCGAATTGAAGATTGTTTATTGTCAACACAGTTCTCCCACTTCTTCCACGGTCAGGGAATCTGATCTTTAGCTGCTTCCTTTGGAAAGGTTTCTCAATCAACCCTTCCTTTTCAAGCTTCTCCAATTTCTGTTGAAACAAGATAAAAGTTAGTAGTCACACAAAAATGTGTAGAAATATATGAAGAGAAATAGAAGCTAAAATTACAATTCGGTCACAATGATTTGTTGCAGGCTTCCCAATAAGCAATCCAAGTAGTTACCTTCTGCTCACTGGAAGCACGCCCTGCATTAACTCCGGCACCAAGTCTGTTTATCAGCTCCTTTGTCTGCTCAATCTCCTTCTGCTGCTTCTCCCATGCAGTATACTGCGCCTGCACTGCTACTGCCTTCGCTAGAATGTACTCTGAATAGTTACCCTTGTATGTCTTGGACACACCAAATTCAGTTTCCACTATCTTTGTACACAACTGATCAAGAAACGCCCTGTCATGAGATATAATGACCATCGGCACATCCTGCGTCTTAAGATAGCTCTCCAGCCACTCAACGGTATCCAAATCGACATGATTCGTAGGCTCATCAAGCAAAAGCAAATCAGGGTCCTGCACAAGATCGAATTTACACTATTTTTAGAACATTTAAAACTAAAAGCAATTGCCATCAATAACCCAATGACAATCTATCAGAATTCACTGCCAATTTGCTAGTACAATGCAATTCTATTTGCGGTCATCACAATTCATCACATTGTACATTTGTAAGGATTATGCAGCATGATGTAAAGGTTAATTAATGTTTATACCTGAAGAAGTATCTTGCCAAGAGACATCCTCATTTTCCACCCACCACTGAAGGAGGCGACGAGGCGGTCGGCGTCCTCAGGCATGAATCCGAGCTCTGGCATGAGCTTCTGCACCTTGACGTCCACCATGTCGAGGTCCACGTCCTGGGAGCGGCGCTGCAGCAGGTCGAGCTCATCGAGGAGGCGGCCCATGAGGTCCATGTCCTCGGTGGCGCCCTCGAGCGCCGCCTGCACCTGCTCGAGCCGGCGCTTGACCTCCATCTCCTCCTGGAAGGCGCTGAAGAACTCCTCCCTGACGGTGCGGGAGGCGGAGACCTCGAACTCCTGGCTGAGGAAGGCGATCTTCATGTTGTCCTTGGCCTTGACGACGGCGCCGCCGTCGGGCTGCTCGAGCCCCGCGATGATGCGGAGCTGCGTCGTCTTGCCCGCGCCGTTCACGCCGACGAGCCCCACCTTCTCGCCGCGCTGCACCTCCCAGGACACGTCCTTGAGCACCGTCACGCCCTTGTAGGATTTTGAGATTCCCTCCAGCCGCACCCCGGACGGGATGCTAGATGCGCCGCTGCTGCCGCCCGACCGCTTCTTCTTGGTCCCGGCGGTGGCGCCGGAGGCGGCGGAGGAAGGGTCGGAGGAGGTGAGGAGGGAAGAAAGGTCCTGGCTTTTGACGTCCTCTTTCTCCTCGGTGGTTGTGGTGGTGGAGGGGGAGGAGGTGGTGAGGCGGCAGGATAGGGGGCCATGGCGGCGGCGGCGGAGACGGCGGGATGTGGTGGGGACGGCGCGGGAGGAGGAAGGAGCGGAGGGGAGGAGTGAGGAATGGAGGCGGAGGGAGCGTACGAGCTTGCCGGAGAGGAGGTCCATGGCGGCCATGGAGTCCTCCGTCTCTCGGAGCTGGAGCCGGGGCCTCTCTGTGTGTGTGCTCTGTTTTGGGTGGAGACAGAGCGGCCACACAGCACAAACCCAACCAGAGGTGAGTGTATGGGTGAGAAAGGAGGAGCAGTGGAAGAAGAAAGACTTTTATCAAAAACAATTTTGATGCGTAATTTTAGGTTCTAAACAATAGCTTTTTTTCCGATCGCGTAAAAGATTTGTACTTTGTATTATTAAGGTAGAAAAAAAATTCGATGCAACACGCCTTAGCGGCGTCGTAGGGGGTCAATAAAGTTTTAAACAAGAATCTTTCAAAAAATTTAATCTCAAAAGTGTTCTTTATCATTTTAATTTCTTTTGCTTTGGATTTTTAGGATAAAATTCCATAGTGAAAAATCTAGTTTTTCATAGGAAAGGAGAGTTATGTATTTCTTTTTCCCATTGAGTTTTTTTTTCAATTGCTTTAGTGTGGTCTCAACATTTCTAGGATAAATTATTGGTGGCATTGTGTGTGGTATTGACGTGGTAAAAGGATCAAGAATAGTCTTTCAGTTGTATGTGTCCTTTTATCAAAAAAAAAAGTTTTATGTTTCATGCAGATATTTTTGTTGTTTATGAAAGCCTAGTTTGAAAAGTTTCTTCTAGACAGGGTAAGAAGATAATAGTTTTATTTTCTTTTGAGGTTTCTATTTGTTGATTTCATGTGGTCTAAATTTTGGAAGGATAAATAGGTAGAAAATGTCCCCCCATGAAGTTGATGCTTTCCTACATGTTATGAGTAGTTAATTGGCATGCAACCGTCACCGCAAGGGATGTATTTTTGAATGATTTTTGTAAAAAAAAAACAATTACGAGGTTATTTAAAATACTCTCTTCTCTAAACATGCCTTTGGAATTTTTGTTCTGCTTTGTTTATGTTAATATCTCTTTCCTTTTGTTTGGAAGGAAAGGGAGGCACTCAAGCTTGTTTTCCGTTTTTGAGTTTTTCATGTGCTGTTCAGTATGGTTGAGTACATTTTGGAATGAACAACCTAGAACTTTCTGTTGAGTATTGAATATATCTGATTCGATGTTTTATAAAGATGGTGGGAATAGGCAGTACCATGACGAAAATGATTCTCTTGTAGATGCTCTTAGTGGCGTGTGATATTAACGCGGCAAAAGGATCAGGAATAGTCTTTTGGTGTGTTTTGATTCTATGAAGATATTATTTTTCTTAATGAAAGCCTAGTTTTAGATACTTCTAGAGAGGGGAAGAAGATAATAGTTTTATTTTTCCTTTGAGGTCTCTATTCTGTTGATTTCATGTGGTCTAATGTTTTGGGAGGGTAGAAAACTTTCTCCCATGAAGTTGATGCTTTTTACAAGTTTGGAATAATTATTGGTATGCAAACCGTCACCACAAGGGTTATATTTTTGAATGATTTTTTTCTAAAAAGTTTCTATTATTAAGAAGGTTCGCTTTAAATACTCTCTTCTCTAAAATTGCCTTTGGAAATTTTACGCTATTTTGTTTATGTTAATATCCCTTCCCCTTTGTTTGGAAGGAAAAGGGGAGGCACTCAAGTCTTGTTTTCACTTTATGAGGTTTGCATAGGTTGGTCAATATGCTTGAGTACATTTTTGGAGTGAGCAACCTAGAACTTTCTGCTGAGGATTGAATATCTCTCTCTGGTTCAACGTTTTATGGAACTTCGATGTTGTACTCACAAGAGCTAAATATGGTGGGAATAGGGGCAGCACCATGACGAAAATGATTTTTTTTTTTTTTGTTAAGATAAGAAAGCCCTTTTGTGGGAATAGGCAGCACCGTGCGATACTCTTTTTGGCAGTAGCGCGTTGATGGGCCGAGAAATTCTTGTGGCCTGTGTTCATTCATGGGTAGGAGGAGGACGAAAGCCGACGAGGCCGCGGTGGGCCACCGCCGGGCCGAGCGGGCCCCGGACGTGTGGCCGCGGGCGGAATCGTGCGGAGCTTCGCGGCCACCCACGTGGCGATCGCGTGCGCGCCGGAGATAAAAAGCCATCCGGTCCTTGGCTCGCCTTTGGTCAGCTGATGATCAAGTGAAGGAGGAGAATCTTGGTGTTGTATTTCTTCGATAATTAGTGCGTACAGTACATCCGGGGGCATGTAGCTTCCATTGCTCACAAACACAAACGTGTAATGCATAGGTGAATATTATTTCTCTTCTCTCCAGGAAAGTTTCTGCTCCCTCATTCTAAATTATAATGTATTATGGCTTTACTAAACACTTAGTTGTACATTATATCTAGATATATTGTAAAAGTAATGTATCTAAAAAAATCAAAACGTCTAATATATAGTTTAAAGCGAAGAGAGTAGCTGATTGCTCCTGAGCTTAGCAGCATAAGCAATGGCTGAAGTAGACCTAAGCAAATTCCAGCATTGTTTGCATATATTCATATTTTGTGCTCTCATGAACGTATTCGAAACGCTAGGCCGATGAATCTTAAGATTGATTTAAATCCCTTGAAAGACACATAAACTTGCTAATACAGACCAATGTTGATCATGTATAGCTTAGTTAAAGATTTATTTATATTTAACAAGCATAAACCTAAATAAAATCTATAACTAAGTTATACATGATCCAATGAGTATGAAATTTTTACTACAGTTTAAGCATACAATAATTAATCCATCATAAAAATTTCACCATAATGAGACCATAGAAACTGTAGCTATGAATTATTCTAATTAATTACAGAAAAGTATAGATCTAAAGCCACGTCAAAAACTTTATACTAATGCATACCATATTATATATTTCTTTGTGTAGATCTACTCGTGTGGAGTCCAACAAAATTAGATTTTCTATTTTATGATTTTTCTATGATTTACTATGATTTTTCAAAGATTGGTAGAAAAAAAAAAAGACAAAACCGCCTTCAAAACCGCTTTTTATAACAGGCCGGGAAGGTAGGATAAACGGTTTTAAAAGTTGAGGAGGTGTGTTTGCCCGGTTTTGAAGTTCGGGAAGGAAAACGGACTTTCGCGAAAGTTGAGTCAGATAACGTGGACTTTTTCCGGCCATCTATTGACAAATCAGATGGGCTCAGATGGGCCCTGTTACGGCACCCGGAAGTTAGGCTTCTGCCTCTTATTTCAGCACAGAAACGGCCCCCAACAGCCCAATGGAAGGGACCCATTGCAGCAGCAGCCAGCAGCGCCGTGAGAACCGCGGCCGTGCGCGCCAACAGGCTGTCTCGACGGTGCTCGCTTCCCCAGTGTTGTAAGAAATCGACCTGCCGGATGCACGCACGCATGAATATATCCAACACGAAATGAATGGACTCTCCGCCACCTCTTAATCACCTGACGATTAATTCCCGGAGGATCGGAGGCAACAAGCAGATGCATATGGGCAGTGGCGGTGCAAGATTTTCGACGCGCGCAGCGATACTACCTGCAGTGGCCTACTAGCAGCTTCTTATGTAATGTACCTCTTATGTAATGGCCTACTGGGAGTTAGCATCGAGATGTGTATATATATTATGGACAATGTTACGATGCTTCTCTTATACAGTACTCAATACATCCCAAATTGTAAAACGTTTGACTTTTTTGACATTAAGTTTGACCACTTGTCTTATTCAAAAATTTGTGTAAAATATCACTTCTTTCGTCGTGGTTTGGTTTATTAATAAAAATTCTTCAAGAATGACTTAAATTTGACTATATTTACACAAATTTTTTGAATAAAACGAGTGGTCAAACTTGGGGCCAAAAAAGTCAAACGTCTTACAATTTGGGATGGAGGGAGTACCTTTTAAAAAGTAAGGGTTTAAATCTGGACCATTGAATTTTACAAGGTATAACAAAATTTAATTGAATTCATATAATAGTAAAAAATTGAAACAATATATTTTTTTTAAAAAAAGGAAATAACTAATGTATCTACTTCAAAACGACCAAATCTTCTATGCATGATTTTCGGTGTCATACTTGGCCATATGGTGCGTTTGGTTGGAGACAAGATAAGATAGGATGGACCGTCCGTGATTTTAGGGTTGGGATCATCTCATATGTATGTTTGGTTGTGAGGATAGGATCGTCCCTATTTGTTGTTTGGGTTAAGGGATTTGCTGGTGGCCCCACGAGTCATCCTCCTAATCTTTTTTTTCTTGGCATCCTTATCTTCTTCTCCTCGCGTGTGCAAATGAGGAGAACTCATGCTAACAACAAGGTACAGTAGGAAAAGTGCTCCTACGCCACAACCTCACGTACAAGTAAAACAACAAACAAAGCACCAAGTCAAAATGCAGCAGTTTTGCTTCACATTTTCGTATCATTCAATTCATAAGGGCTATGATAGCAAACAAATATATTTTTGGAATCTACACGACAAGGCCTACAACTTTCATAAAGAGTTTATATTTTTATCACGTCTTTAAGATGGCCTAAACTGCGGTTGAAAACGGACTTCAGAAACTTTCTAAGATTTGAAACAACAAGCTTTACATTTTCATCTCCATATCTTTATGTCCAAAAATTATGAAATTTCACCAGATAGCAAATCATTTCATAATCTACAACTTTCATAAAGAGTTTATATTTTTATCACGTCTTTAAGATGGCCTAAACTGCGGTTGAAAACGGACTTCAGAAACTTTCTAAGATTTGAAACAACAAGCTTTACATTTTCATCTCCATATCTTTATGTCCAAAAATTATGAAATTTCACCAGATAGCAAATCATTTCATAATCTACAACTTTCATATTCCTCATATTTGCAGATATGGTTAGCAAGATGACCTAATGCATGAGCAAAGCTTAACTGAAAATTTTGTAGAGAAAATAGTACATCCGATTTTAAAAATCTATACCTAGAGTTCCTCTTATCCAAAAGCCATGATCTTTGCCAATCCAAAAATAAAATAGAAAGTACTACAAGCCTCTTATAATTTGTATAGTCCCATCATGAATCTAATGTTCTCAAAATTCTTCTAGATCAAATTAAAATCGTGCA